CCCCCCATTCTTGTTTATAGACCATGTTTTTTTAATGCATTTAAAAAACACAAATCATCATTTCCACATTAAAAGCTGCATGGAAAGATATATGTTAACACAAATACGCAGTTTTGATAAGCTGAGGTGGTGTAATGCGCAGAAGCACCAAGTAATCTACCCCTATTTTGTCTTGCTAGGTTCAGAGTCTAGTACAGTTGAAATCCACATTTCCAGCGAGCTACAAGACTATGAGGATGTAGACGCAGACGGAGAATCCTTGGAGAACTCTGTGAGGCACTAACTGGGGTCGTCCACAAACCACCTTCCTCCACTTTGCTGCACCGCATTGTTTTTGCGGTCACTTTTTTTGTAGATGGTCTCCCATTAAGCCTTTGTTTTCCTGCTGAGATTTGAACTGGTCATGAGTTTCATTATTTGGTATGACAGACTAAGCCTCATTCCTGAGTCCAATCCTTTTTTTTTTTTTTAAACCCTTTCCATAAAAAGAAAAAAATAAAAGTGCTACGTTTCAGACCCATCAACTCAACAGTCCCAGAACGAACACGGCTGACCTTTAAAAGTACTTTAAGTGCTTGAAGAAGCATTTTTTCAAATTCTTTAAATTGCATACACTGATTTTGTGACAAGAATCATTTACATTAAGCTGTAAAAGCCCCACAAAATAAGCTAAATAACTAATCTTAAAACAAAGTTATTGTATTGCCAGGTGTCCATGTTGTATTTTTACACACATGTATTTCATGCTATATTAAATATCTAAATATCTTTTACACTTTTGACTCAAAAGCCTTTCAATTTTTCCCCAAATCTACAATATGTTAATGAGCTCAAGAAAAAGGGGGGGGGAAACACACAATTCAAGACAAAGGCTTGAGTTCTGTTATCAAAATAGAGTAATTTATTTGAGACACTGAATGACTTCAATGTTTTTTTTTTTCTTGGAAACAGGTGACAGACCCTGGATCAGGGTGAAAAAGATAGTAGCCGTCACAGCGCTTATTCCATATTGGGCTCCTTAGCATGCCAAGAATGGCCACTGACCTACAGCCCAATGCTCAGTCTGACACAGACAATAATGGCTCTTAGCAAATTTAAAAAAAAAAAAAGTAGTCAAAAAAAAAATTAAACACCCATTAGTATCCAATTGTGACATTAAAAAAAAACAAAAAAATAAAAACAAATAGTTGGACCTTGACTTTCAGCAAAATGTGATTTTTTTTTCTGAGCCCACAGATACAAAAGTGCACTTCATGTTGCTCCTGCTGAAGCTGACAAAAAGTGAGACAAAAACAAATAAAATCAAACAATAAAATGAAATTTAAAAAAATATTAAAAGCTAAAAAGGCAAATCAAAGTGGTAGCAGGTTCGCTTGAAGATACTTTTACTTTACATCCAAGCAGGCAGACATACTGCTCACAACACATTTCAAGCTCAGCACACCTGAAAAAAAATTTAAACAACAGCAAGGCTTTTGCATAAAATCCACCTCCTGGTCAAATGATCTGAATTTTCAGTAGGCTGATCAGAGGAAAAGTGCCAGAGAGGAACCATGCTAATAATAAAACAAGCTGCAGAAACTTTCCTTGCTTGTCTGCTTGGCAGTTACAGGTTTGTGAGTCCCGTGATGACTTGTTTTACACACAAAACAGAAATAAAAGCAGCAGGCTAAGTAGGATAGTGATGACTGCTAAAATCTTTAACAAGAGAACTTCCCAAATGCAGATGATGCGGTGTACATTTCCTCCATGGCTTTTAGTGATCAGCAGAGAAGAACAACAATGCTCAAGCCATTTTCCTTGATGTTTTTTCTGTGATTCACTTAACGAAAAGTAAGCTCGATCAAATGGATACGACTGGCAGATTTCAGAAAGGCTGCAACATAAGAAGCTCATGAGATATGCACTTCATTTAAAGAGTGGTCTTGTCTTGAATTATCAGCAAAGATCTGATCGCTCTAGCCATTAAAAAGCCCCTACAGGATTGCAATAAAGTGTGCTGTATATAAACATATATACACAGTATATAAGTCTGTGTACGAATCTAATTTACATCTTTACATTCTTTAAATTTACATCTAGAGTGGCAGATAATTCTCTGTATAAAGCACACTTTTCACATCTTGTCCACAGAATGACGTTTTCTGACGACTGAATCGAACAGGTCATTTTTGGAAGTTAGGACAATTTCTTGGCAGGCCTTTCCTTTTGTGTTGTTGAACCTGATGTTAAAAATGAGCTAAGAACTACCTCGTAGCGGCACATTCAGTTTGATTTTCAAAAATCCATCTGTGGAAAATAGATACAAAAAAAGAAAAGACGGAGGAACAAAGGAAAAAAGAAAAGAAAAGGAAGAATTACTCTTGAAACAAACGTTTCTCCACTGGGGAGAAATTAAGCACTGTGTCAACAGACAGCAGCAGTGCTTCAGTTTTCAGTATCAGCTACTTTCATTGTGTTACTTCATTACGACATGAAGTTCCTCGCAATTTGTTTCCTCTCACAGCCAAACACCAGTGTCTCAATAACACTTTTGTCTTTATATATCTCGGCTCATCCGTGTTTCTACCCTCACAACCCGAAAACGGTGGACCAGTGGCCCGTGGGGATCGCAGCACTTCATCATAAGGAACCATTTTAATACATGGATGCACCCAGCGAGTTGTGTCCAGTCTAGGGGAATCTCTTAGCCAGCTTCCGCTATGTCTCAAACAGGCTTCTCATAAAATACACACATCGACTGGAGGGTGCGCTGAATTCAGTTGGAGTTAAAACCGCTGCAGTGATCTGGTTTTATTCCGGTGAGTTTTCATTCAGTTCACCTTTACAGCCTTTCTTGAGCAATGAGTGTGTGTTTGCTGATGGCAGGAGAAGGCATTTTTCTCCACAATCCAGGATTAATCATCAAGTGGGCTATTTTCGGAGATCGAGAACACAAACCTAGAATGTCAAAATAAATAAATAAAAATTAGATAGCTTTAATATTACATTTCAAGTCTGCATTTTTACTCGCTGTTCTTCAAATATTGGTCGTGAGAGCTTTCTGACATTTTTGTTTTATTTGAAATTAAAACTGTAAAATCAAAACCGCTTACCGAGCCATCTGAGGCACTGGCACCAACTTTGTCTCCGGTGCTGTTCCAGCACACCTCGAAGATGCCGCCAGTACCCCTGTAGCTGTGCACCAAGGCTCCAGTCTGAAACAAAGCCACAAACAAATGACAATTAATTGTCTCTTCTCTGTCGTTTGGCACAGTATAAATTCCAGTCCGGCTCTTACCGTAGTGTTCCAAATGTGGACACATTTATCAAAGGAGCCGCTGGCTAGGTGTTTGCCATCAGGGCTGAAGGCCACGCTGTAGACCGGTTCCTGGTGCCTGGTCAGTGTATGAATACAAACTCCTCGTTCAACATCCCACAGTCGCACTGTAGAGTCAAAAGAAGCGCTGTGTGGAGAACAGAGGATAGGAATCAGATGGTTAAGCAGCATCAAAGCATCCTAATAATCAGTTTCTTCAATAAATGCTAGTTTTTATTTCCACTGCTTTATATTGCAGAGGAAGACACGGGAAAAAAAAATTCCATTATTGAAAGCTACCCATTTGCATCATTTCAGTTTTTAAAGGCCATGTCCTAACCTATTTCACATTGCCTGTTATATCAAACTCTAAATTTACTGAAGACTAAAGTAAATGCAGAATGAGACATAGTTTCTTATCATCAAGAAGCATCGGGGCTTGTGGCCTTCGCAAACACATCTATAAGGTTCAACATACACACAGCTCATAGTGAACACAACAAGCCAGGACTTCATTAAAAGTTGACCCGTGTGATCGGTATTGAATGAGAGTTATATATAGTCAATCTCCTACCTGGCAAGCATGATGTTGGCGTTGGGGTTATTTGTGCTGGGGCCTGTGGGGCTCCACTTGATAGTGTAGATTTCTTTACTGTGAGCCTGGAGGTCATGGACACATGACTCCTGCTTCATACTCCAAATCTGCACATGAGGGGAATGGCAAGAGCAAAGTATGTATGAATACAAATCAATGTGTTTGTATTCTTTAACCTCCAAGACCGGAGACTGGTCTTACCTTTAAGGTCATGTCATCCGAGCAGGAGGCAAGCAGCATACCTGATGGGTCCCACTTAATGGCATTAACTTCATTCTGCAAAACAACGCTCATTAGCATGTATGTTGAGGTAGAACTAAAGTTAGTGTGAGAGAGAGATGGGGTCAGAAAAGCTGCTCACCGTGTGGCCCTGGAAAGTCTTGAGGGGGCGGTCGCTGCCAAGTCGACATACGTGGATGCACATGTCTGTGCTGCAAGAGGCAAACGTGGTGTTGTTCTGCCAGTCAACATCCAGTGCTGGGGCTGTGCACAAATCCATACTCATTAGGGTTGCACGATCGCAACTGAGCAGCAGTCACTTTGTATCATATTCATTATCTATAACAGTCATTTATCTGGATACATGAATTCGCTTTACCTGAGTGGAAAGGGAACTGCTGTTTGGCTTCTCCTGTGTGTGCGTCCCAAATGATTGTCGTCTGGAAAAGTTACAATTGCATTTTAAAACACAAGCTCAACTTTTCTGCACAAATGCACATGCCTCATCTGTCGTTCGATGGTCCATAAACCCATCTGCAGTTAATGTCACCGACTCAGTTTGCTTAACCTTTCTTGGTAAAGTTTTACTCCATTCCATTTGATTAAATGTCTGTTGTGCTATAAAAAAGGCAAATTAATCGTAAAAGACAGATAAGAAAATTTAATGTGGGAGCCAAAAATTTCAGGTTTCTTTCCCCGTTTTTAATACTGTTAAGAATTTTAGGCTATGGATATGAGAAAATGATATGTCAGAGATTTAGTCTTTGTCTGATGAGCAAAAAAAGGCTGGTTTGAAACAAAAAAGCAAACAAAACCCCCCAAAACACAAGGATATTATTAGTGAAAGACAAATCCACGCCTGGGGATCTTTAGGAGTACCTTATCTACACCAGCGCTGAGAATACAGTTCCCCTTCTTGTTCCACTTGAGTGCAAATATGGGCCCTTTGTGTTGACCCAATGTGCTTGCCAGATTTCCTAATGGATAAGAGTAATATCAGTTTCTCTTAGAAAAGATCCCTCACAAAATTGTCACGAAGGTTGCATTTTTCACATCAACAATGTCAAAAAATAAAAATCTAATGGCAAAAGAAACAACAATGTGTGACAATGATGGAGGACATACCATCCTTTGTCCATATCCTGGCAAATCCATCATACGAGCCCGTTGCCAGGAGAGTCCCATCGCTCTGTTGGACGACAACATAACAGAACTGTTACCTGACAGCACTGCCTGTTTACCAGATGGTAAAGGTACGAGAGGAAAGATGTGATGTATGATCTGAAACCTACATTCCAGTCTAGGGAGGTGACATCTTTGTTGCTGGGGACATCCTGGCCACCTTCTCGGATACAGTGGCGCAGCACCAGCTGGGTGGAGATCGAGTTATTATTCTCGTTCAGGTTCCAGATCCTGGCAGTGGAGTCCCCCGAACTGAACCAACCAACATAACAGGAGGCGGTCAAATGATTGTGGAAATACAACCTATCAGCAGTGTTTTTTTAATAAAGCTAGATGTCTTACACCACAGCGTAAATACAATACAGTACGATTCACGCAGGATGAATTAAGATGTGTTTCAGCACAGACAGAGACTGACCCTGAGGCCAACAGATCGCTGACAGGGTTCCAGGCGCAGATGAAAACTTCAGACTCGTGGCCTCTGAGTACTGTAGCTTTACTGGCTGGTATCTCAACATCCACATCCATCTCCATAGGCTCACTGTGGTTATCTGAGGAGTGGACAGATTCATATTTTATGTACATTAACATACACGCAAAACACAGATTTGCCTACAATTCTCAGCAAGTTTTAAGCATTGTGTAGATTTACCATTAATGTTTACAGTATTTAGTTTAGACAATTGTCAAAGGAGGTGAATATATTACTTTTCAAGCAACAGGGGGCCAACAAAGAAAATCATTAATCTATTCAAAAAAGTCAACTAAAGTATATATTGTGGTGCTTCAACTACTATGACATCTCTAATTTTAAAAGCAACTCTCAAGCTGTTATA